TATGTAGCCAAGGAAATTATTTCTCTCTCCACTCACACTCACTACGTTCGTAACCGTTACAAGAGAAATACATTTATCATTAGCACTAGTAGTATCATTATTATTATCTGAATAAGAATGGATATAGAAACTCAAAATCACAACAAATATAGCCTTAGCTTGTGGACAATTATGTTGTTTATTAGATTTTGATTTTTGTCACTAAACATGTTTCCATTTCTCACTTCAAGATGGAAATTGARAGACAGAAGAGACTAGAGGAAGAGAGGATCAAGGCCCAGAATGAAGAACGGAAAAGAAGAGAAAGGTACCACAACACATCACTCCTGTCTTCATGTCAAATAATGAGAAATATTTTTTATGAATAACTGGATAAAAGATTGAATGGAAGAAAAAATGGATGAATAAACAAATGGAAAAAATAAATTGATGACGCATTCGGTGGTTAAATAGAATAATGATTAAAGGAATTGCGTGAAGGTCTTGAAAATTGATGAGAATTCTGGTTGCTTGTGTCCAGGGAACAAAAGGAGAGAGAAAAACAACAACGACAAGAACAGGAAAAGGAAGAGAGAAAACGCAGGCAACAGGAAGAAGAGAAGAAGAGAAAAGAGGAAGAGGAAAAGCGAAAAAAGGCTGAAAAGGAAAAAGCTGCCAAAAAGGTACACAACTCGGACTGTCATTTTATATTAAAAATTTAATTTAACTAGACTTTGAAATTGCTTTTTTTTTRTTTATTTAGGCAGCCTTACAAGCAGCAAAAGGTATTGAAATTGTTGGTTTATGATATAATAATTGCTGTTTAGGGTGCATTCATATWGACAACTTTCATATTAACGTTAAAGTCATAATGTTGACAAAAGATGATGCTCAGATGATAGATAACAAAGCTAAAGATAAGTTCTGAATGTTGCACAGAAAAATATCAGTCTTGACGTTACTCTATCTAGTACAGCACAAATGCATTAAAGTGTGGTCAATGATAATGTATTCACATAGTTCTGACTTGTCATCTATCTCAATTAGACTCTTGATCCCAGACAAGATTACACAATCCTACAACGGTGATTGGTTGATAAGCAAGACAAAATCATGCAAATACACTAACAGTGGTCACACTTTTTACCCGTTCGGCTATAAAAAGTAACTAAATAAGTAATAAAATAATAATAAATAATAATAATAATAAAGTAAGTAAATGTTCACGTTGTGTTGGTTAGACGGCAAACCCWTTGAATATGATTTGTTATTTGACCTGTACCGATTTGAAAAATTACAGGCAGTAAAACATTTAATAATTGTTCTACTGACTGGACTCTTGCTCATGTTTTGCAAGACAATACCTTTCGCTATGGATGATAAGCCAATCATTTCAGAGCAGCAGTTGTTGTTCAAATCATTACAACACTTTTCAAATCAGTCAAAATGACAAGAGTTTAGTATTCTGGTTTAGCAGGTCTGTTTCTAAGACCTAAACATCTACCCAAAAAGTTGTTGAAAGGCCATAATTCATGCTTGATATTTGAATGTGATACAGAAAAAGAAGAACAGGCAAAAGCTGCAAGTAAACTACAGGTTAGTGTATTATTTTATGTTGTTGTTGTGAACTTGATGAACTGTCATGACGCCAAAATGCTGTGACTCAACAAACAAGTTATTCTAAAGCATTTTGCTTGTATTTATTATTGCTATTAGCAGTAGAATAGTCTGAGAGCCTTTCAAAGGTGATTATTGATGATCAATATGTATAAAAATTAAAGAATCATTRAAAAACAATAARTTTTACTTTTTTTCCAGTCTGCAAAACGTCAACCACAACAACAACGCACAGATCAGCAACAATATCCTCGTGAGATTCCTCCTAGATTCCAAAARATGAAAAAACAACAACTACAGCAACAACAACAGCAACACATGCAACAGTCACAGTCAACGTCATATCAACCTAACCAACAAAGTACACAACAACAGCAACAACAACAACCTCAGCAGAACAGAGCACAAATAAAACCTCAACCTCCAGGTACTGTAGGCTTTTTTATTTATGTGCTGTACAGTAAAAACC